GAATGCACCCTGCTCCACGACGAGCGGTGCGGCCAGGCCGCAGCCGCAGCCAGATAAGCCGTGGGCGGACGGCATACGGCGCCGACCGGAGTCACCAATCAGGCAGCCGCAAGAGCGCAACGACCCAGCAGACTCTCTCTCTCTCTGAGTGCGAGAGAGACGCAGCGGTGACCACACTGTTCGTCATGAGCGACAAGCTGGAGGCTGGAGCGCCTGGCGGGTAGGCACGACGAGCACACCCGTGTCGCGCGGGACTGCCTACCTGGCACGGGGCTCGGCTCGGCTCGGAGTGAACCTGATGGACACACCCGCCGCGCGCGTGCAGTGTATCGCCAGCGCCGAGCTCGACCCGACACCACCTTGGTAACCCAACGCAGCCGCAGACACAGCCACAGCCACTCGGTGCATTACGGGAAAGCGACCGCCAGAGTGCGCGCGCACCGGGCCGGTGGAGTGGCAGGCCTGACGGCGAGCCTGACGGGGACACAATGAGCCTGGACAGAATGGAGCGTGGCGGGGCGTGGCGAGGCGCGGCCTAGCGGGGCACCGTCACCGCCAAGGCCTGTGCCCTTCCGCACTGCGCTCATTGGCTGGCAAGGATACGGCCAACTGCGCGTCCACCGTCCAGCGGACACCTCGGCTGGCCTTACAGTGTGGTGCCGCCACCACCTGGAGGAGGCACCCACCCCACCGCGTACGTACCCGCTAAACAGGCAGCCAGCACCGCGCACGCCGCCACGCCGCGCACGCCAACAGGCGGAAACGGACAAAGCACATAGTCGATGCTAACTACTCTCCTCGCCGCCCGGGCTGCGCGGCCGGGGTTTTAACTGTCCCTCGTTTCGTGCCCCGGCCCCACTAAAACGCGGACGGCGCGGACGGCGTCGTGAACGAGAACCCCGTCGCGGTGCCGCGCCGCCAGCCCGCCAGCCCGCCCTTGGTGCGGTCCGGCGAGGCTCAGGAAGGGTCACTGCCAAAGCCAAGGACGCACTTCCCAACACCCCGCAGCGCCGCCGCCGGCCAGATACGCCACGCCGCTACGCCCGTGGCAGCGGGCTCGGCTCGGCTCGGCTCGGCTCGGCTCGGCTCGGCTCGGCTCGGCTCGGCTCGGCTAGGCCCCTCCGCACGGCCCGGCTGGACTCGGCTCGACAACGCGGTCCACTTACGGCACCGGAACCATCTTGTTCGTGTGCCGCTTTGTTCGGCCACAAACAGGGACGGGCGGACGGGCGGACGGACGGACGGGCGGACGGACACACACGCGCCGCGGGGGTGGACGCGGAAGAGGAGGACGTCGTTGGGGCTCTCTTTGCCGGCCTTGTTGCCCTGCTGGGCCGCGCGCCGCGACCTTGCCCTGGGTCACTCGCGGACCCTCGCCATGCTCCGCGCCTGGCACGGCCAGGGCCCCGACGACCGCCGCGCCGACCGCCGCGCCCCGCGGCCACTACACTGGCCGACCATGTCCCTTGTAAGGACGCCGACATCGACTGCGCCGCGCACCACGGCGGCTACCCTTGCCATTTCGAACGCGCCTCTCGCTGTCGTTCGTTTCCAGTGGGACACTGCACTGCAACACCCGCCGCGGCCCCGCGGCGAGTCCGACCGTCCCACCGAACCCTTCGCCGTCGTGCTGGCCATGCCGGCCTCGCCGGCCTTGCTCAGACGCGGCCTCGCCGTACAGCGAACGTTAGAACTGTTAGCGCCGGCCGCCCCGCGCCTGGGAGCGCGATTCTCAGAGTGAGACAGCGCCAACAGGGTACTCCGCGAACGGGGGGAGGGAGGGGGAAAGAAAATGCAGGGGGCCACAAGTTTCGCTTAACATATGCATGAACTCCAGTGAGCTAGTTACGGGCTACGCCGGGCTGCGCTAGCCTGCGGGCTGCCTGCAGCCCCCCCTCCGAAGGTACTGGTACAACTTGAGGGTGTGCGTGCGTTGGTGTGAGTAGTACGTGTGTGTGCGTGCATGAGTGTGTGAGTGCGTCGTGTCCTGCTGCTGCTGCTGGAGAGGACATCTTTTATTCATCCCCGCGGGATTTACACTATTTACAGGCAGCCAAGGACTCCGATGACTGACTATCCGCAGGAGGCGACACGGCACCGCAAGCGCCGTGAGGGCCGGGGCGAGGTGTGCGTGCCGGGCCCCCCGTCATTTCCAAGTCTTCCAAACAAAGTTTTTCCTTGAGGACAGGCAAGGCAGCATGCATGCGACGACGGCCTGGCGCGCGGCAGGGCGGCAGGGCGGTGCCCAGATAAGGACAGACCTCGGCCCATCGCACACCCATTTCCCTGATAACGACTGGATACAATATCGAGTGTATAAAAACAAACAGATAGGCAGTCAACTTCGTCACGCATACCATGAACCGGCACAAAACGTACACGCAAAAAAAATTATTAATTGAAACTCTGTTAGAGTTTTTTTTTTTTTGGCTCGACAAAGATGAAATAAAAGGGTGGACTGGTTCAATAACAGTGCCCGTTGGGCCGTCACGACGGAGCCCACATAAATGCGCGTGTTACCAGCGTTGCGTGTGCGCGGCGGGGCGGGGCGGGGCGGGGCGGGGCGGGGCGGGGCGGGGCGGAGCGGGGCGGGGCGGGGTGACACACGAAGGACATCTCGCCCGCGGGGCACTACTCCACACTCTGCATGCGATCCGACCCTCCGCCACCAAAGCACACAGACACTTAATTCACGGCGGGGGATTAAAACCCCACTTCACGTCATCGGGCAGCATAACAATGCACCAGCAGCAGGCAGCCCGCATGCGAGGCGTATTGGGTGCTGCGGCTAGGCGCGCAGAGCCCGCCGGCACCGAGCAGTGCGTGAGGCTGGAGGGGGCGCGCCCGGGCACGCCACTGTACGCACGGAGCCAACGCCGCGGCATCGGCCTGACGACGGCCTGCCCTGACGGCCTGACACAGTTCCAGTCCCGCCGCGTGGGCGCGTCCTGGCCGACGCCCCGCTCGGACAGGATTCGCCCCGCAAAGCAAAAGTGGCAGCTCTGGCGGCGACCGTCGGAACTACGTCGCCAGCTCCCTGGGCCGGGTTTTCTGGACAATGACGTCACGGGCCAGGCACGTGTCTGTGCCGCTACCTGGGCTACCTCACGGCCTCCACCACCACGGCTCATCGCCCCCACCACCACGGCTTGTCCCCCTACCACCCGGGTTTGTCGAAAAACCCGTCTCACAGCCGCGACTGTGGTGCCATCTCTCGGTTGCTTTGCGGGGCGAATACGGCGTTACATCACCACGACGACCGCCCTCGCGGCGCGCTGCCCTAGCCTAGGGTTGCCACCCGGCGGCAGTGACCGCATGCATGCCCCAGAGAGGGTTGCCACCCGGCGGCGGCGGAAGTCGCGGTGCATCCGCGGCAACCAGTCCAAACATTTCCAATCAGAAAGAAAAACACGAGGCGCCCGAAGTTGGAGGCGGGGCGGAACGCTTCAATATTCAGGAAAAGCGGCAGCGGCTCCCGAAAGGGGAGGGGGGGGAGGGGGGGGTGAAATCTCGTCAGGAATGAACGAGATAGCAGCTCCACACGCCAAGCGGCGCCGAGCCGCGCCGAGCCGCGCGCCCAGCGCCCGATAATGCGTCCGATACATCCCGTCCCCGGGGAGCGCTGTGCTGTCTTGTCTTCCTTCCCAGGGTCCTCCAACCCGGACGCCGCCGACGCCGCCGACACCGCCACCAGGCCCGACTCGCCTGCCCGTAAAAAGGCAACGAGGAGAGCGACTTTCGTTTCATCGAGCGGATTCCGACTCATTTCTTTCTCCCAATCACGCCTGGCTCGTCCGCGTCGTCGGGCGGATAGAGAGGCGGTCGCCAGCAGTCCAGCGAGTCGTTCTGTCTCTCTCGCACCCTTACGGACTGTCCCGTGAGTGCGACAGAGACAGCGACGAAACGACCATCACTTGGCGGGCTGGGCACCGCGCTTCCACGACGCCTCCAGAGCGAGAGGTGGGCCGGCCGCCGTCAGCTCGGCTCGGCTCGGACGTGCCAAGTTTGTTCCGAAGCCGAAAGCGAGTTGGCTGCCCCGCCGGCCCCGCCAGTAAAGCCACTGCTAAATGCCTTCCGCAGCGGCAAGCCCTGCAGGCCGCGCGGCCGCGCAGGCCCACCAACTCGCCCTCATTGGGGTTTAATGTGTGGAGGGGCACTACACTGTGGGCGGGGCGGGTGGCCTGGACCAGCACTGCATGCGTGGCCCACTGGCCGCACCACCCACTAGAGTCGAGCGAAAGCCGATGAGCGGTGCGGAGAAAGAAAAGTGGTAGCAACTCCAGACATAACGGTGACAAAATCATCGAGTTTAACCATTGCGGCCAAAGTTGGTAATCAGTGACAGGCGGGGCGGGGCGGGGCGTGGCGGGGCGGGGCGGGGCGGGGTGTGGCGGGGCGGGGCGGGGCCCGAGGCCCCCTTCTGTGCCGACGCTCGCTTGCTTGGCCAATTCGCAGACAGCTTATTGAATTGGCAGCAAAGTCGGATGACGCTAATGCGATATGAATTCGGCCCGTGCGTCCCCCCGAGGCGGGCCGGCAGACTGGTTCCGAGAGTCGTCGTCGTCGCCCTGTCTCCCTCGCACTCATGGGGCGTGCCGTGTAGGTGCGAGAGAGACAGAGCGACTCTCGGTACCCAGGCCCGTGCGTCCGTCCGTAATGGAAGCATGCTGCAGCCCCGCTGGAGCGTCGCTGGAGCGGCGCCGCGTAATCCGGCAGCACGTGCTCCAGATAATAACCACGCTAATTACCTGTACAGGCGCAGCCGAAAGCACACTGGCAAATCTCGCGAGGACGCGTCCCAGTGGTATACAATCATTTTCCAAAACAAGCAAACAATTCCATTCTTATTTTTCGAAAGCTTGGTATGCTCCATCCTCTCCTGCGGCACGGATCTAGGTCCAGGCCTTGCCGACGTTGCACCACGCCACCGTTCGCGGCTCTTTCTTGATAGCGGGTGACGCCCTGCGCCTAACCCACTTTGCGAGTTTATCGGTACTTACATAATCTGCCGAAGCTGTGACTCAGGCGCTTCTTGAGCTTCTGCACGCGGCTCAGCGCGCCGCCCTTCTTCTCGCGCATCGGCACTCCTGCAAAAGGAAGGCGAGGATCAGTTACAGTGTGGCGTCATCGTCCCGGCAGTCCAGGACCTGAGGGCGGCCGCACAGTGGGCCGGCCCGGGCCGGGCCAAAGTGGCCCGCGAAGCACACCTGGCAAGGCGGCGCACCGCGGCGTACCCAAGCCTTTGTAATGCCGGGCCGTCCGGGCCGCCCGGGCCGCGGGGCAGTGACCGTGTGGCCGTTGGCTTTTGGCTCGGCTTAGTTCGCGCTCCGACCACTGGCTCTCCGCCTGGCCGCTGCTTTGCTGTTGGCTTTGCCGCGCCGTGTGCTCTCGGGCCTGCTGCGGTTTCAGTCAAGGATGAAAAGCCACTGTCTGGGCCGCGCCGCCGTGTGGGCAGCAGCCTAGAGAACACGTCTGTCACGGTGACGCGGTGACACCGTTAGCGACGTTATTGGTGTATTTGCGGAGCCAGGCGGGGCGCGCGTCCCCCACGCCCGCTCGCTCCCCGCGTTGCGTCACACACCAGGACAAGAAGTACACAACTCCTCCTCTCCGCGCGCCGGCGCTGCGAATCGAGATAAACTCCCCCACAACAGGACGGGGGAGCGAAGGAAAGTCAACGCACGACAGGAGTCGGTCAAAAGTCGTGGAGGTACACTGGTGGCGGGGCTCGCCTCACACGTGCAGCGCGACGCAAAGCCAGTCCGCCACTAGAAAACTAGGAAAGTAGTGGAAGCGCTCTCGGTGCCGCGACGCGCATCCTTGGAACTCGCTGGACGCGCTGGACAAGGTCGAGGCAACTTCAACTTTCAGCCGAGCGGAGCGCGCGAGTGAGTGCGCAGCCTGCAGCTCACTGATTCCGCGAGAGCCGTTTTCGTCGCTCCGTCTCTCTCGCACCGACACGCGACGCCGCACGAGAGTGAGAGAGACGGAGCGACGAATGGAAGACTCTCGGAATCAGTCTGCAGATTATGATTCGTCCGTCCGCCGGCAGTCGACCGGCCGCGGCGGCAGCGACGGCAGCGCACTGGGCCGTGACAGGGAGCTGCAGGCCTGCAGGCCGCCACACTGCAACAAGCCCAAGACGCTCTTGGCAGTGTGGGGCCGGCACTCTGTTGGCTTTGCCTTCCGTGACAACGGAGCCGCGCGAGGCCCCGCCCCGCCCCGCGCCCTGGCAGAGGCAGACCTCGTAAACCAATAATCGGCCGACCTTGCGACGCGACCACGGGCACCACGGGCCGCGCAACGAAAAAAAAAACGAACGCCAAAAAACAAGCGTCTTCCCGAACGCAATCAGTGGGCCAAATTTCCTGTTGGTTAGCTGCTGCCGGCAGGCAAGGGCACGAGCGAGGCGGAGCGGCAGAATGGATCCCCTCATAAAAGCAGAGCGAGTTAGAGATTCATCTCCAAAGTGTGCTGACTGCTGACGGTGCACCGGCGGCTAGCTGCCTGTCTGCCTGTCTGCCCGTTGCCGCGGCCTGGGCCAGCCCGTTAGGGCCGGCCACTCCAGCAGTACGGTTCGGCGCGAGGCCGGCCTACACTAGCCCACACTAGCCGCACCGAGCACACAGGCGCCGACAGAGTGCATATCAACTTGTCTGGCAACACCGTCCAGCCGGAGCCGCGCTAGCCGCGCCGGGGTCCTCTCGCGTCCCTCTCCCTGCGCGAGGCTAGATACGGCCCGTATGCCACAATGCCACTAATTAAACGCTTTCACTATGTAGGCCATGCAGGCCACGGCCGAGGCCGGCGCAGCGAGGAGGCGGGGCACCCGCCGGGCTGAGCTACCAGAGCTGGCGGAGCGCACAGAGATATTGAGACAATTTCCGCGCGCAGCCACCGCAGCGCCCCCTGGAGCGTGAAGCCGGCGCGCCACGCGGCAACGCGGAGAGCAATCCATTGGTGGGGTCACACGTTCGGTTCGAGTCCCACTTAGCGACTCTGGAGCTCAAAACGCGTCTAGAGTTTTGGCCGCCTCCTCCGGTCTTCTGGCCCACTGTGCGCCTGAAAAGGCTCGGCGAGAGGGCGAGGGAGGAGGGCGGCATGTCCCGGTGGCGTGCCGTACATGGCCGCGCTGGCCGAGGCGCTGGCCGAGGCGCTGGCCCGGTGCCGCCACGAGGAGGTGCGCGGCGTGCGCGCCGAGCCTCCGAGACGTGCAGCCACCAGCCACTGCCACACTGCCAGCCTGCAGCGGCGTGCAGCCCGGGGCACTTTCTTCCCATCAGCTGGCCGACCGACTGAAGGACGGACGGGCCGACGGAGAGAACGAGACCGCAACGCCGTTTGCGGGTGGGACGCGCGACGGCGTCACCGAGACGGCCGACACCTTCACGGAACGAAAACGCTCCCCGTAGGGCCACAAAGGCACGCGTCAGCAGACTGATTCCACGACCCGTTTTCGTCGCTCTGTCTCCCTCGCTCCAGTACGGAACGTCCCCCGAGCGCGAGAGAGACAGAGCGACGAAAACGGCTCTCAGTCTGCAGGTCAAGATAATGGCGACTGACGTCATCCTCCGGGAAAGGCATGTCTTTCCTTCGTTCGTCCCGACGATTACATTCCTAGATGGCGCTGCTGCTGCTGACGCAGTCCTGTATCGGGGCGGGTGGGCCGGGACACACCCGCGTGGAGGGCTTCAGGCTTCAGACCTCCCAGCCGGACGGACGGACAGCCGAGCCCGCATCGCGTTCGGTGTTCGGTGATCGAACGCTCCCCGTAATGACCAATCGGGGCAGGGCCTGGAGACCGGAGACGCCGCGGCCCCGGCTCGGCTCCGACGCGCTGGCTCGGCTGGCTCGCTCGGCCCCCGCTCGGCTCGGATCGTCGCGGCCGCATCGGGTCCAGGCCGGCGTCGTACCGGCCGAGGCGGGCCGAGGCAGGACGAGGCAAGGAGGCCACTTTATCATCTCGGACACTAATTTGGAAAAGCGAATTGCAGCCCTCGTGGGATGGCGGCACGGCGGCACGGCGCGGAGGGTCCCAGCGCAAAGCCCCCTTCTCCCGCAGTGACAGTATCTCAGGGCCCCGCCCGTCCAGCCCGTCCTGGACTTCCTTATTTTGGCCCAGAGGAATCACTCGGCCCGAGCGGCGGAGCGGCCGAGCGGTCCGAGCCCCGCAGTAAAGCAGTCCAGTTGCCAGCGGTTCCCAGCGCGCGGCTCCCAAACTCCCGGCGAAATACTCCCCGCCCGCTCTAAATATAAACTGCTGCGGGGCGGCGCGGCACGGCGTGGCGCCCCGGCGCAGTGACCTATAGACCGCCTCGCGGCGCTCCGTCTCCCGAAGCACTCCACTGCCGGGGGACAGCGGTTCGCGCCCGGCCCGGGCCGCTTCAGTTAAAAATGGGTCCCGCAGACGACCAGACGGCGCCGCCGACACGCAATGCTTGGGACCAGACCGATGGGGACCCACCGGGACCCACCGGGACCCACCCAAAAGCAACAAGCGTGGCCTACTTGTCTCCAGTCAATGGCGGCGGGCTGACCGACGCGGGGGCGTGGCGGCGCGTTGCACGACACACGGACACAATCTAACGCACACAATCTCTCTCTCACACACACGCGCGCAGCTGGCACGCGCGACGCGCCCACACCGCCGCGCGCTGCGCCCGGCCGCGCGAGACAGTGCTCGCCTTACCGCCTTGCTCTCGCTCGGTCTTGTGTAACGACCTAACGATCCCATCCGTCGCGCACCCCGTCGCGGATCTCTCTTTCCGCGGTTCGAACACTCGATCAAAAAGCCGGTCTCTCCTTTTTTTCCGCGTTGCCTGCCCTGGCTGCCCCGGCTGCAGCTGCGGTGCACCTGCGGCGAGGCCAGGATGCCGCGCCGTGAGATATGCAGCCATGCAGCTGGGAGATGAAAGTGCACGCTGCGGCGCGGTGCAGTCGGCACGATGCAGTGGAGCCGCTCTCTCCGTCTCTGTCGCACTCACGGCGCGTCGCGGACGAGTGCGAGAGAGACAGAACGCCAGCCCTTCGGAATTCCCGCCGCTGGACCACACAGTCTGCCTCGCTGCGGTGGTTCACCTGCCGTCTAATAAGCAAGGGGCGATCGGACAGGCGGACGCGCGGAATGCAGACAGGCAGACAGACAGACGGGCGGGCAGGCGGGCACACGAACGGACTATGTCATCCAATCAATCAGTGGAAGTGAGGCTCCTAATTGGACCGATTTCGCCTTACCAGTCACGTCGTGCCCAGCCGAGCCGAGCCGAGCCAGGCCACGGAGGTGGATGCGAGATTGGGGGTTACTGAAGCAGACCCGGCGTACAAAAGCACCAGGCGGAGCTCGGCTGCGCGGCGCCGCAAACCACAACAACGCGGCGTACGGCATCGCGACGGGCGGGCAAGACGACGAGGAACAGGAAGGAGCGGAGAGGATGACGCTGTCTGTCTCTGTCCCTCTTAGCCGCCACTCACAGAGGCTCACAGTCGCGCGTATCGCAGTGCCGCCCAAAACCAGATCGCTGCGGCTAGGCCGGCTAGGTGCGCGGTTGAGTCTGTCTAGCGGCGGCGCGCGGTGGTTGCAAAGGCTGGCGGCACTTAGGCTAGGAGGACGCCAGACGGCGGCCGGGGCTGGCAGACAGGCAGACAGGCAGGCAGGCAAGCTGGCAGCCTTGGCCCGTCTGCAGCGATCCCGATATCGGCCTGCCTGTTGTCACATTGTGGCAGTCCCGGCGCGCCTCGGGCGAGGACGAGGCAGAGTGGAGCACTTTTTCCGGCATTTATCTCGTCCTAGTCGCGCCCTGCCGCGAGGCTCCAGCTGCTCCAGCACTCCATCGGTGCGGCCTGCCTCCACGCGTTGTTGTCCAGCGCCACTCCAGGCACCGCGCAGCCCGACAGGCCGACAGGCCGACAGCCCGACAGGCCGACAGCCCGACAGCGGGACAGCTGTCCCGGCACGCGGCGCGGCGCGGGGATGGTTGTTGCGCCAGGTCCCAAACTTGGCTAAATGGCAGCGCTTTAGGGGATTACGGGCAGCTTAGCGTGGACGAGGCAAAGGGTCCGAGAGTGTTATCTGTGTGTGTGGTGGTGACTTCAACGGATGCCATAAAAGCAGCCCGCGCTCCTCACCGAGACCTCTCTGCCGCTGACGCCCTCCTGGCGCGGACCAAGCCGAGCCGAGCCGAGCCGAGCCGAGCCGGACTGGTGGCCGCGCGCCTCGCCACGCCCACCGAGCGTAAGCGGCTCATTCGCTGCTATTCAATTCAAGGCTCGGCGTGATGGCCTATGCGAAGCGCGAGGCACCGCGGCAGCGAAGGGAGCAGGCCGTGGCGCAACGGCGACTCCCTGCTTGCCAGTCCGCGACTCCGCGAGGGCACGGCAGGTGTCCCCAATGGGAGGCATCGACCACACGGCAGGGTAAGCCCAACCCTCGAACCCGACTCGCGAGGGAGAGAAAATACTCGCACAATGAACAGTGCACACACCGCGGAGATAGGAATCGGCCGCAACAGGCAGGCAACCAGCTGGAGACCACTATGTGGCTGGGGCGAGCGCGGCGCCACGGCCGCTACAGTCCCGGGGCCATATGCTTTGCCGGCGTGCCGCGGCGTGCCCGCTGGAATCTCCTTCTGGAGTCGCTGCCCGCCGCGGCCGCCTCCAGTCCTGGCGTCCTGGAGTCCTGGAGGGAGGAGGCAAAGGCTGGCGAGCCTGGCGAGCCTGATGCCGAGGCACGGACCGGCCCAGCTGGAGGCAAGGACAATCACCTCCCGGCTCGCGAGGCGCCGCGCCACGCCACGCCACGCCACGCCGCGCGCAGCACGGTAGCCTGGTCAGGTTACACCGCAAACGCAAGAAGACGCTTCCCCACCGCCTCACTCACACACTCACACACACATAGACAGGGGCGGCGTGGGACCTCTTCATTTGCACACTGGTGGCGGTGTCGCTGACACGGCAAAAAAACAACAACAAAAACAGCAAGCGACTCGGCGGAACGGAAGCCCTTATCAGAGCGTCCGGTGACTTCCAGTGTGGCGGGCGGGTCGCGGCGCCGACGCCAACCTGATGCGCGGATGTCACTCGGGGGCCGCGCGACCTCGCCGAGGCCTCGTTCCAGCTCAACGAATCCGAAACGCAGCACACCAGCGCCGCCAGCGCAGCGAGCAAAGCGAAGAGCTACTGCTGCAATAGGACACGTCCCATGCGCCGCACGCACATGCACACACACACACACACACACGCACACACACACACACACACAGCACATGCAGCGCGGCGCAGCGTGCGTCACATACACACACAGTTCCGCCCTCCCCCCACATTCCCATTTGTCTGGCGAGAAACTCGCATCACCGCCACCGCGCGTCGTCCTGGCCTCCGCCAAGCACACCGCCATGCACACCGCCATGCACACCGCCAAGCACACCGCCACCGCGACCGTGTTGCACAGCACGAGCCTGCCAGTTGGGGCGCTGATTTAACTGCAGCCGCCCACACGGCCTAGCCGGCCTATGCAGGCAGGACTCTCTTCGCGACCGGTCTGTCCGCCTGACGCCTGCCTGTCTGTCTGTCTGTTTGCCCGCCAGTCTGTGTGCGCTGCTACGCTGCTAAACTCGGCGCGTAATTGTGTTTCCCATGCAGCGCGTCATTAACGCCTCGTGACGTCACCGTCTGAGGTTTTACAGCGGCGCCGCGCCGCGCCGCACGCAACAGGACACGTCACGCCGCTACCCGCCCAAACACCGCTCTTAACGCGCTTGGCGCGGGTCTGGCGACGTGACCGCGCCAGAGGTTCAGCTCGCTCGCACTCACGGGGCGTCCCGTGGCGGCGCGAGAGAGACAGAACGGCGGAGCGCTGTTCGGACTGCGTCTGCAGCTGCAGGCAGTCGGTCGGCCCCGGGCACTGAAGGCACGACCGAAGGCACGACCGAAGGCACGACCGAAGGCACGACCGAAGGCACGACCGAAGGCACGACCGAAGGCACGACCGAAGGCACGACCGAAGACACGACCGAAGGCACGACCGAAGGCACGACCGAAGGCACGACCGAAGGCACGACCGAAGGCACGACCGAAGACACGACCGAAGGCACGACCGAAGGCACGACCGAAGGCACGACCGAAGGCACGACCGAAGGCACGACCGAAGGCACGACCGAAGGCACGACACAACCAACAGCTGGCGGCGCGCGGCGAGGCACAACCGTCGAGTGCTATTTGTCGATGCGAGTGGAGGAGCCGAGCCGCCGGGTGCAGCAGCACGGCCACGCTGCACTCGCCGTCTCTCTCGCACTCGCATGGACCGCGTCGCCGCGTCGCAGCCCGTGCACGGGTGCGAGCGAGACAGAGCGACGAAAGCGCAGTGGTTCGGAGCGAGTGCATCACGTGGGCCGCGGCGGCCGTTATAACATTACCGGCCCACGTATACAGTGTACGCAAGGTGAAGCACCTTCACTTTTGTGCAGCCTGGCGCAGCCACACCGGGAGGGAGGGAGCATGGCCGCCACAGGGACAAACAACGTTTGAAAAAAATAAAAATTATTCTTTTTCAAAAGTAGAAAAAGTGAGAAAATAATAATTGAAGGAACGTGGTAAGCCGAGACAGCTCGGAGGGACAGGTTTCTGCGGCACAGATTCCAGAAGACCACAACGTTGTTTGTTTTTGTTCGGTTTGTTTTCGCGGGAAAGGAACTTCCTTTTTCCGTCAACATTTTGGGCGTTTCAGCGCGATGCACCCAGGACGCACGGGGTCGCCCACGCCGCCACGCCGCACGGCAGGGAGACCGCGCCTCACCTCCACGCCGCCGCCGCTGCACAGAGAGTTTAGTGTACCCAGTCGGACAGGTAAATAAACACAGCCGCACCGCGCTGCGCTCGCCGTGGTGGGTTCAAAGACCCGGCCGCCGGGATGTGCCTCGATCACGCACACACGACTAATAGACCAAGTTCCACTTGGCGGTCTCTCCCTCTCTCTCTCTCTCTCTCTCTCTCTCTCTCTCTCTCTCTCTCTCTCTCTCTCTCTCTCTCTCTCTCTCTCCCAGCAGAGACATTCGCGCGCCGTAAAGGACAACGCTAAACACGGCGACGTCGGCCGTGCCACTAAGAAGCTCGTTAACTCGGCCTAATCCTCCACTACTCCTTCTGGTTAAATATTGATGAAGTGGGCCTGTATTAATTCCCGCGGGGCGGGAGCGAGAGAGAGGGAGAGGAAGAGAGAGAGAGAGAGAGAGAGAGAGAGAGAGAGAGAGAGAGAGAGAGAGAGAGAGAGAGAGAGAGAGAGAGAGAGAGAGAGAGAGAGAGAGAGAGAGAGAGAGAGAGAGAGAGAGAAGGGAGCCACCGCCGCCCCACATCCCCGAGGCGACCGAACACAGAGAGATTCGCCCCTTCCAAGGCCGCGATTCGGCGTGAGAAGTTCACGCCGGAGAAGAAGAAGAATAAGAAGAGGGAGGAGGAGGAGGAGAAAGAGGGAGGAAGAACGAGAAGGGGGCCAAAGCAGTGCGGGATAAGTTTCAAATAAGGAGATGTGAGCAGACGGAGGGAAACTGCGTTCAAGGGCTGCGGCGGCGGCCCCTGCCCTGCCTTCGCCCTGCAGTACTGTACTGCACACTGTAAGCCCATGCCTCGCGAGAGACGAACCTGCCCCAGCTTTTTGCTGCGCTGCCACACTGTAATGGTCCTCTCTCCGTTCCCGCGGCGCCCCGGCCCGGCGCTGTGGTGGGCCTTGCCGCCGTGCCACGCCGTGCCCCCAGAGGACCCGATCCAGTTCGTTCGGCTTCAAGCCGGCAGTCAGACGCGGCCGGGCCTAGAGCCGGGCCCAGCCCAGCCGAACCAGATCGATTGGAAACACCAGCAGAATGTGCAAGGCAGACTCCACGGCAACGCGTGTCCGTGTGTCCAATGCGTCCTTGGACAGGACAGGGACACCAGTGTGGCGGTCGTGGAGGCGGCCGACGACGCCGTCCTCGCTTATCGTCCAGGGGGCGCGGCGCGGCGGCCAATGCGCTCCGGCTGGAATCCCGCTGATAACAGCACATGGCTGCCGCCAGGCCGCCAGACCGCCGCCATTCCAGAGACACCCTGCCACAAATCCGGGCCCGAAAGGCTGCGCCCGCCGCGTCGGGACGTAGCAGCAATAGCAAGCGGGCCGCCCCGCCCCGCCCCGCCTTTCATTAGGCCCCATTACCTTTGCGGGACCGCCGCCCCGGCCGCCCCGCTCAAAGGGGAGGTGCGCGACAAAGCATTCACACTTCTGGCTCCAAAGTAGTCTGCACTGAATTACGGCGACACTCTCGCCTGCCTTTAGGACTCCAGTGTTTTGTTTGCTGTTGTCGTCGCGATGAGGCTTTGGAATGTATGACTCGGAGAGGGTGGTCATTTTCTCTTTCCCACACATTCACACACTCATACGCTCACACTCACTCACACACACACACACACACACACACACACACACACACAGCTGAGAGGCAATTCCGGTCAATGACAACCTGGCCGTCGGTCCGCCGCGTCCCGCCGTTCCCATGGCATGCGTCATGCCCGTCTAATTGGCGCTGTCGCGTCACTTTCCAGTGGAGCGATGCTTCGGCAAGGACGTCCCGGAAGTGACACACGCCGCGACACACTATTCTCTCATTATGATGATTATTTTCCTTTTCCAAAGCGCTTCCTGCTACGCCGTGCTACGCCCACCGCGGCGCTGCTCCTCGCGCGGCTCTTGGCCAGGGAAGGCCGGGTTAAACTAGCGTGCGCCTAGGCCGGCCTGGGCGCGGCTAGGGGCGATCGTCACTTTGGGGCTTCCCTGTGGGCACACTCGTCTCACCGCCCCGTCACTCACTCCGCAGTCACTTCCTCGTCACTCCGCCGCCTCACAGTGTGCCGGGGACTCACCGTGGGAGAGCGCTCCGGTTCCCTGGAAGAGACTCAGCGTGCCTGCGTGCGCCAGGATTGGGCCTGGCCGCCCTGCGCGAGGCAAGGCAATCACTTGAATCACACTGGCACCACCACACTGGACTTGCCGTCACTCCATCTCCCCGCACGCACACACACACACACACACACACACACAGCACTCGCGCGCGAACACAAGACAGCGCAGCTGGGCGCAGCGCGGCACAGGCAGCACGGTGGGGCGATGCGGACGCAACGCCGGTCCGAGCCGTACTGACTCACACAGTGGGGCGGCGAGCGGCGCGGCGGAGCGGGGTCCCCGGCCCGTCCCGCTCGCGCCGCGTAGGCCCGTGCTGCCGCGGCCCGGCTCGGCTCCGCCCCTCCGCCTCGGCTGAGCCCCGCTCGGCTCGACTCGGCTCGACTCGGCTCGACCCACGGGCCGCGGAGGCGTCAGCAACACGGGTATCACTTGATCCGGCCGCTGGTGACACAATAGTTGGGCACGATCGAGGAACGAACGACGACCAGGGCTTCGATCGGAGGACTTATCTCCAGCGGCGCCAACACGGCACGCTCGGCGTGCTCCAGGGGGCACGATTCCAGCGGCGGCCTCCAGCGGCCCCACCTCGCAGACGCAGGTCAACAGCGTCCACTAGGCCGGGGCCTGATCCCCCATAGTAATTAGTCCAGCACTGTTTGACCACTGGCGACCACACACAGACACACACAGCGCCGAAGCGAAGGCAGAGCCAACATAGGGACAGACAGCCGGATTGATACAGAGGTGACAGCACGCTCGAGGGCGCTAAGCCGGCAGGCCAGCGCCTAGGTGTCCAGAGCGGCCCACTTGTGCCCCATGGCCACCACCGCCTGCATACGCCACGCCGCCCCATGCAGCCCATGCTGGCTGTGCTGGCGGCGCCGTGGCTTCGGTCGGCTCTAAACACGTTTCATAATTTAAGTGGAGCGCGCTCTTCCCTCTCGCTCGCCCCGCCCGCCCCGCCTGCCCTGCCCTAGGGCGGGGTCGCGCTGCGAGAGAGAGGGAGAGAGAGAGGGAGAGAGAGAGGGAGAGAGAGAGGGAGCGAGTGCACCGCACTGAAAAGGGAAGCGCCACAGCCTGGCGCCACCGGAACTCCGGGGTCTAGAGGCGCCACCAGCGAGTTCCATTCAGGTAAAAAAGGGAGGCTCAGACGACGCGCGTCACGGGGTACGTCGTATTTCCAGAGATTTTCCCACGAAAAGGCAGGCGAAAATTTTCAGGTAAAGGAAGTAGCTCCATGCTTCTAAAAATAAACTTAGCAAAAGCCATGAACAGGCACGAAAACACTACAACAGAGAAAAACATCAAAACCTTAAAAATCGAAAAGGAACAAAACAGGAAATGGAGGCGAGGCGGGCGTTTGGGTCGCAAAATCATCTCTGCCTCGGCGTTTCGCTTGGAGATGCACGGCGCAAGACGGACGAATAGGAGCAGGCGGGGCGGGGCGAGGCGGGGCGGGGCGGGGCGGGGCGAGGCGGGGCGGGGCGAGGCGGGGCGGGGCGGGGCGGGGCGAGGCGAGTCTAAAGAAACGAACAGCACGGCCAAACCAAGCCGAACGAAGTGCACGGCGTGGGCGGTGGGTCCACTCCGTGCCACTCCGTGCCGCATTGATGGGAGGGAAGCGGAGGGAATCAGGGCTGCTGTTGCTGGTGGGGGCGCGGAGGGGCGCGGCAGGGCAGGGAGGCTAGCAGCCGATTGCTGCAGCAAGAAAAGAATTAATAAAGACTTTGGCAGCGGAAGCGCGGCCAGGAGGGTCAAGTAGGGGAGCAGCGCCCGCAGCGAGGCAAATCGGCCGCCGACGTTTTGGGCTTCCCCCGTCCCCCGACTAGCTTCCACCTCGGGCAGCGAGTCTAGCGAGTCGCAGGGCAGTCCTGGGGCCGCTGAAGGGCTGAAGGGCCCCGAGCAGCTCGACCTGCTCGAGCAGCGCCTCGACGACTTAATAACTTCTTCTCGGCCTTCTCCGCCGTCGCGGCGAACTTTATTTTATCCTCCCGGACTGCACAGAAGGAACTCCAGCTGCAGCCGGCTCACTGCTTGTTTTCGCCGTGCCATTTTTCTCCACTCGGTCCATCCGACTGTCTGTCTGTCTGTCTGTCTGTCCGTTTGCCCCTCAGCCACGCACACGCCCCAGGTAGGGCTTCCTGGGGCCCACGCGGCCCCACGGCCCTCTAGATAGCACGCAACGCCACGCCATACGCATAGTAATTGGCTCAGGCGGGCACGACGCGACCCTGGCAAGGCAATAGCGCGCATATTTCGTCCAAGAATGCGGCGAAGCGGCCCGCCTTATGAAACATCGCCCCCCCCCTCCGCCCCGCTTCGCGCTCCGCGTTCGACAAGCTTCTCTCCGCCCCCTCCGCGAGGTCGTCCAACTTGCCGCGACAACAACAGCGAAGACAGAAATACGCCGCAAACCTGGGCTGGATTCGCCAGTGTAGGGGCGGCGCGACTTCGGTGAGGCCGCGTGCGCTGCTTCCAAACGCCGCCACACTGCAAACTGCGTCGTCAGGCGGCAAGGCTGCGGGGGTAAGCGCCGCGACTGCGACACTTTATGCAGCGCGCCGCCAAACAGCAGGCTGTCTCTCTCGCTCTCCAGTGGCGGCCCCGTACGAGTGCGAGAGAGACAGGGCGACCAGCAAGCAGCGGCAGCCGTCATCGCGGCCCCGCATGGCGGTGCAGTGCGGCACACGCCATTGTCTATTTTCAGAGGCGGCTATAACGCCGCGAAACAAGAAAGAAATGACCGAAAGAAAAATGCATTTGCAACGACGTCTCTCTCTCTCTCTCTTTCTCTCTCTCTCTCTCTCTCTGTCTCTGTCTCTCTCTCTCTCTCTCTCTCTCTCTCTCCTCTCTCTCTCTCTCTCTCTGTCTCGTGCAAAAACACGCACACACACAAGCGTAGGCACGCAGACGCACGCACACAGGCGCGGCACTGACATGCTACAATCAAGCGCGGGTGGCGCGGCCCGGCCCGGCCCAAACAAATGAGGGCGGAATATGCAAACGAGAAAGCGCACACTCATCCGCGCGGCGCGTCAGCGCGGGGTCAGCACATCCACCCACGCAAAAAAAAAAAAAAAGGAAACCGAATTCGCTCGGACCCCCACGGCTCACGCCATGGCGGCTCTATTCTCGATCCAGCCAATCACCGCCTCGTCTCGTACACGACGAGCTGCTGTTCCCGGGGTACTACAAGTAGTGGCTGCTGGCGGTACACGGTGGCTCCTCGGTGGACGTCGTCGTCGGCGACCTCGCTGACCTCGCCAAGTGCGGCCGCACCGCGCACCTCGGCCGAGCGAAGCGCCGCCAGCGCCAGTCACGCCGGGGCCCCGCTTCGCACTGCTTCGCACCCCACCCCACTGCTCCTCGCCGGCAAGCACACCGTCTCGCACGCGGCACGCACGCCGCAGCCCCGCACACGCGGCGGTAATGGAGTTCTAGTCTCCAGGGGCGGCGGGGAGGGGGGAGGGGCGTCCGTGTTCCAGCGGGCACCGTGGCGGTCCAGCCCGGGCCCCTACTGCCCCACATTAACCAATCGACCGCAGGCTGGCCCTTGGGCGTGGCGCGGCGTGGCGCGGCGCGGCGTACGGGTCCCCGAGGGCGCCGTCGGCCAGGGCGGCGGACGGCGGTCGACGGCGAGCTCTTGCTGAATTAGTGAGGCGAGGCGCCATCCGCGGCGCTGGCCGACGGGCCGCCGCCCCCGGGGACCGGAGACGGCCAGGACGGCTGAGGCGAATATCGAAAAGGCATCGGCGAGGCGTCCTCGTGCTCCTCGGGGGGCTTGGTGACGTCGTGTTGACGCCGCCACGGCACGCGGCGCAATTCGGCCGCGCTATCCGAAGTAAGAGCGCAAAGCGGGTCCAACCGGATAGTGGCCGTTAAGGAAGCAGATGCGGGACAGGCCAGCTTGTGCTGCTTAAAGACCGAGTGAGTTCGAGTACCCGTTGCCAAGCGAACAGCTCCGAGTACCCGTTGCCAAGTGAGTAGCTCCGAGTGCCAGCTCCGAGCGCCCGGCGACGTAGGCAACCGGCAGGCTTTGCGCGCGCGCGTGCACCGGGTTGCCTATCGCCAACCCCGCAGGCGCCCCGCCACCAGCTGGTACGCCACCGGGCCGCGCGGGCTGGGGCGCGCCACCACGCGCCGGGACCAAAGTTTGCAACTTTATGGGTAACCTTTGACACCCGCGGCACAGCGGGCGCGTGGCGAGGCGCAGCCCAGCGCGGTTTGCACGGATTTCCTCGTCGCGGTACAGGACCTCCGCGCACTTGCCGGCTGAATGGCGGGGTGGGGCGGGGCGTGCCAATCTCCCCGCGGCCCCGCCAACAAACGGACTCCTCTTTTGTCCGCGTGATTGACTGCCGGATTTATTTGGGCCTCTTTGTTCCACAAACGCCACAGGAACCGACGGGTCGTACGCCGCGAAGCCGCGATAGCAAGATATTCCACGCCGGCCGACGGACAGACAGACAGACAGACAGATAGACAGGCAGACAGACAGACAGACCGCTTGGTGGCACAAAGAGCATGGCGAGCGCCGAAATCACGATTTTCAGACTTTTGTCATCGTTTTGATTAACTTTGCGACAACACTGCCCTCAAACCATATACTCACAAAATAAGCGAGTGATTTTACCCCTGGTCGTCTCTGCACTGTTTTCGCGGAAAGACAATGAAAACCTTCGTCGGCGAGCTCGGTGCGGTCGCTTTGGGGGCACTTCCGGGCACTTCCGCTTCCGGCCTTCCGGCGACGCACTGCACTGCCCGTCGTGCACGTCAGCAGGGACGACGCGCCGTCAGACTACACACCTCTCCGCCGATAAATAAACACGCCAGGCGAGCCACGCCCCGCCACGCCCCGCCACGCCCCGCCACGCCCCGCCACGCCCCGCCACGCCCCGTTCGGCGAAAGCACCCCACCACGCCGTCACCGGCAGCCAACGCGACGGCGAAGCAGCCAGGACAGAAACCATCACGTCGTTACAGCTCAAACTCCCAAACGCGTCTTGGAGCTGCGCGAGGATGTTCGACGACCCCGGGCCACAACCCCACCCCACGCAGCAACATCCCTTCAATCCATTTCCGGCGGGGCTCCAGGCTCCAGGGCTGAGGACTCCGTCATCAACCTCCGGCCTGGACAATCCATCTCCCCGGGCGACGCGCGCTGAGCGCTCAGTGCCGGCTAAGGCTGCCAAGGCCAGGGCACTGGAGCGCACTTCTGGAGCGGCCCTGGAG